GACATCTAGTGCTGTGGATGTACACTTAGACAAAGTGCAACACTTCCTCTTTCAGATATGTGGGTATTGAGGCAATAAAACATCCACCCAGAGTGGGAGATATAAACTCTTTGCTCCTAAAACTTGAACTCTGCTGTATATACACACTGAGCACTTCAGCCCCTAAAGGCCTTAATGATGACTTTGACATTAAATCGTTTTTTGTGATTGAACACCCCGCGCTGCTGTGTGGGCTTTATTTTTCATATAGTTTCATTTGTGACTGCTCAATTTTTCTCTCGCTGTTATCCTCCCCATGGTAATAATAATAGACAGAGGTGCACACAGAAGCAAAATATACGAGTCCTTTATGGATTACCGATTATGCGGAGCATTTTATTTAAAATCTCATATACAATTTATTGTTATTTATCCTGGAAAGTCAGACTCTTGAGATGTTGTTGGTGTCCAGGTCAAAATAGGTAGCTCTGTCAGCTCAGTTACATTCAATTATAATACACACACAAAAATAAACAAACAGCAGTGCACACAAATGTGTGCAACAAAGAGATATCACAAAATGATAAACTTCAAAACGAAGAAAATGTGAAATATGAGAATAAGTGAACCTAGCTCAGGTCCAACAGGGGAAGCAGTAAGTCTGCAGAAGCAGCTTCCAGGTCATTTAAAATGATCTTGAATCCGCTAAGCTAAACCAGCTCCCTGAGATTTAATTGATTTTGCAGCTGGTAGTCAGCAGGCTAAGCAAGATGTTGATGCATTATTACATTATTTTATAAATTATTATAGATTATTTTTATATGCTTATATTGATTGCTGACACTAAGTAACTCTTTCTTTGCATTTTCTGTGTAAGTTTTGTACTCACACAGCAAGTAAAACTCAACACTGTAATCAATATGCTTTTATTTTCAAATTTTGTCACACTCCATTTCCAATGAATCAGTTTTCATGGTCAGTGGTAAAAGTTTGTTGAAATGGACTGCTATTTGATGAAGTCAAAATATGAGACGTGATTTTTAAACTTGATCATATACTTCCAAATCTGCTCTGGGGTAAGTGTGAGCTTGTCAGTTCCTCTTATCAATACTGTCATGATTCTCATTTGTTGTGCGTTGTAAAACAATGAAGTGTAAGTTTATTGTGCACAAGTGAAATTTTATTTCTGAATGCAAAACAAACACAAATTTAACCAGTATCAGATCCCAGTACTGATATTTTCCTGCTTGTTTACTTCCTCTCTCTGTGTCTGCAGACAGAAAATTTGTATTGCAATTTTTATCATACAATAAAAATGCTTTAAAGCTTAACTCTCGTCAGGATATTTGACAGTGCAAAAGGATGGGCCAAAACAGATAAATATCAACCACTGACACCCAGGCCGTTTTCCTTCCCTCAACATAAAACAGTGCCATTTTGTCAAAGCTGCTAGTGTGCACTACAAAGTGTCCTTGGGCGTTGTGGTTATGGCATCGGTGAAATAGGGCTGTCAGTCCCAACTCATCATTTTTCAATGTGAACGAGGTTATTTTAACACAAAGCAACATTTGGTCCGGAACCCAACCATCTAGTTTTTGATCCTTGACCCAAAATGAAAATGAAACAAAATGGAAACAAAAGAAAAACACAAAGATCACTACTACTACACAACTTCAAACTCTGCATAACATAAAGGTGTTAATTCTAGAGAGCGATGGGGTGGTTAATGCCAGCCTCCAACAAATGCTGCCAAATGATTTAAAAAACCTAATAATGCATTTAATCTGCATATAGACATTTTAACATCTTATTAATTCAGTTGTGCTACTGTTCTGCAGAACAAAGAGGACGGGAGCACCTCAAGGTTACTTTTTCATGTTTAAACTACATGAATAGGTGGCTTGATGAAAGATTTTAATTGTACTTTTCTATGAAAATACTATTAAGTGAAGGTTAATTTCAGTTGGTGGAAAAATAATCCCGAACAGCAGCTGGCTGATCAACTCGCCCAACACAATTTTTTTACTGGTGCCAAACCATTGGTTATGTCAGACCCTGCAATATTGTTATTGCCGGTGCATTAAGGCACAGTGTGGACTGCTGTGACACTGGCATTCCCCGAGATTAGAACACAGGTGAATTGATTGCTTATCAATATGCCATTATTAGTCACCAAGCCCAGTATCGGCTGACCCAGACACCCATATTCATGACCATGGAGCTTTTCATAAACTGAGTCCCTTTTTCTGCTCTATTTCTTCAGTCAGTTGAGATTCACTAATATGTGAGTTGTTGATAAATCGCAACACTGATGCTGAACACCTGTGCAAGTTTCCCACAGAGAAACTTGATCAGGAATTAATAAGGAAGAAGGGAATGATAAGGAAAATCAATAAAATGTTATCAATGCTCATCATTAACGATCGTCTCTTTATAGATGTTTCTTTAATGTTCAGCTGGAAAAGAAATACACAAATAGTTTACATTATTTTCTGACCTTGTGTACTTCTCAATGGAACGACCTTGTGTTACTAAAATAAGTGCACTGTTTTCAGAGAGCCCCTTTAGAGAATTCTCTGACTTATTCAAATTATCCTTGAAGTTGGCTTTATCAATCTCTGCTTCAGTGCATAGCTGACCTGCATCAGTTCATTCAAGCGAAAGCCTCCGAGGTCCTTTTAAACCCACAAGGTTAATATGACATGATGAAAAATGAGCTCTCTGACCACTGACCTTAATATACTATTAATATGCCACTCACAGCCCAGCCAGCAGGTCAAAGCTGCAGTAATGGCTGCTTGAGGAATGCCTAGAGGAAGAAAAAAGAAAAGAACCCATCGGAACAAATAGATGCGGCTGTAATGATTAATGTCAGGCTGCATCCCACCGTTAATATCCGTAAGTGTTGTAGCTTTGAGAAATGGTCATTGATCTGAGCGATGCTGGTAAAGGCCTCTGGTGAACAAGCTGTGTGTTTTCTTTGATGTATGACCTGTTGGGATAAAAGGCCAAACTGAGGCCTGAAAACAAGAATTTTTGGATGATAGGAAAGATGACACATGGACCATGAAATGGATAGAAGATTAATATTGGATAGACAGCTCCAATATTGAACCGAAAGCAGATAGTTTCTCTCCGTTCCTGAAAAGAGTCTGAGGTTTAATTTATCACTGGTACTACAGAGAGTAGCCAAAACGATAAGAACACGAGACAAGATATGAATGTCAAGTAGCAAGTATAGCTCCAGGTTTTGTTTGCTGCTTTTGCATTACCATATGCAGGGTTTGCAGAGTGATTGTGAAACACAAGTTCATATCGTGAACCTTGTACAAAGAAGGAGAGAAAAGTGCTCTATCAGTTTCATTATCTGCAACCACAGACTAATGGATAAAGTCACTTTGTATATGAACATAGCTTCCAGGTTTGAATACTAAAACCCGTTTGCCTTCAGGGAAGACTCCATGGGCTATACAACTTTTATCCAGATGAATAAAAGTCTATCAAACAATAGCTCTTTGGCTGCGATCTCAGTAAACATTTTCCTGTTGCGTTATTGGCTCAGTCATCATTTTTGAATCATATAAATGAAACATAATGGTATATTTTTTAGTAAGAATAAATTATGGTCATTACTCGAATCAGAAAGGAAGATTTTCCAGGGTTTGCTGAAAAGGCACAAGTTGTTAGCTAATGAGCATGCCGTCATTGGTGCAGCCAACGATCCAATCATCAATCATTGCCAACTTTTGGATGACATCAGATACACTGATCTTTTGGACTGTCTTTGAAATCTCTCAGTGGTCAGTGAGTCCTTGGGATGTCAGTGGAACAGATATGACTTGTTTTTGCAATCACAGGAGTTGACCCCTGCTAGTGAGTAATTAGATTTGTGTTAGATTTCAGGTCGGATGCAGAAGCATGTTCAAATTTGGGGCTTTTTACCGGTTGCTAGGCAGTCAGTAGGCTGTGGGCCTCTTGCCTCAACCTCAAATAGGCAACATCATTAGGGAATGATGTTATGCCATCATGTGGCATCTCTTACCAGTGATGTCACAGAATGATATTTCAGAGATTGAAAATGTTTCATTACTCGTGCATAACTAACCAAGAAATTAAAGGTGATGTCACACAACTACAAAGAAGAGGTGTATTAGAGTTTATGCACTGATCCTCACATTTGTTTTTGCTGATGCTAACATGCCTAAAGATGCCGTGCAATAACAGATATCTAAGCAGAGGTTTGAGGATGTAAAGTCCTAATAAACAGGACGAAATCACAAAAATTGTGTGTGCCTGGTGCACCAGTGAGTACTGCACAAGTAATGAGAAAGGTCTCAAAGTTTTATCATACTTTATAGCTTGGTAGGATGAAACTTTGGATATAGCATTTAAAGTCAATGCTCCAGCAAAAACTGTAGTATTTTAGCACAGGTATCAGCAGTTGCTCCTAGAATTTGCACTCAGTCTAAGCTGCTTTAGACTGAAATGCCTACAAATGGTATTTAAGTTTAATCAGACCTTTAACTTCTTCAGACTCTTCCCCATTTACCTTGGAGACGGGTGATAAAACTCAAAAAAGTGACAACGGACCTCAAGCTGCCCATGACATGGAAGTGACAGTAAATAAACAGTTGCTCCTGGAACTTGCACTTGCTTTTTCTTTCACTGTGAGTATTATTGATGAACAATTGAGGCTAGACTAATCAGAAATCATCTCTGCATCAGTCGTCATGAAGATAGTCTAGCTATTTAGTAGTTAGTTTCAAGCTACAGCTGGATAAGCTAAACTATCTCCTTGACATGATTGGAATGATTTTTAATCCATCCTCAATCATTTAACATATAAACCAGTGGTGTCAAACATAAGGTCCGGGGACCTCTTGTGTTGTGCGTGGCCCTCGATGTAAAATGAATTTGACAGCTCTGATCTAAACTGTATTTGTGTATTTGTGTCAGTTTGTCCCCTCCCTTAAAATTTATCTCTGTTTACGTTTGACCTTTGCCCTCTCTCTGGTCTCCAGGGGGACTTGTTGAACCCATGCAGGTGTGACGGCTCAGTGCGGTATACCCACCAGCAGTGCCTGCTGAAGTGGATCAGCGAACGGGGCTGCTGGACCTGCGAGCTGTGCTGCTACCGTTTCCAGGTGATCGCCATCAATCTGAAGAGACCATGGCAGGTATAATACTGCTGAAAGGCAGAGTATTTACCCTCTGCTGAAGGTTGCCTCACTTTCAGACTTAACTGTTCTCTCTTTATTATGATAGCAGTAACAACTTTTAAAATAACTCAATAGAGAAATGCATAATTAAAGCCATGAAAGGTCCAACCATGGATTATTTAACAAACAGATTAAATTGAGTTATTTTTCTAGGCTTTTGTTTGGTTTTGTTGTTTAGTGTCTTTAAAACTTTTAAATTTAACACACACAACCCAAAAGGGGTTTAAGAGGCTTTTAGGAAAGGCACTAACTGTTTGTGAGTCAGTTACTTGTTATGAAAAATAATACAAAGTCCTCCAAATGGAATGACAAAATAGATTTGTTTGCCTTTTCTAAACTTCTACCTCTATGATTAAGGTTTGGGTAGATTTGTACAACTACAACTGCTTAGTTAAGGTTCAGGAAAAGTGGCAGTCATTATATACAATGGAGATATGGAAGATGTTAGCTGACCACATAAATAAATAATTACACTCTGACTGCATACATTTTGTGTTGTGACATTTTAAATAAATTTGATATGTATTTGTGAAAGGGCTGCTCAGTGGGGCAGTGCTTAGGACTTGCTTACAGCAAGCCTGGGTTTAAACCTGCTGGAGGGTGTGGCGTTTGCATGTTCTCCCTGTGCCTGTGTGGCTTCTCTCCAAGTAGTTTCTTCCCTCAGTCCAAAGACATACATGTTAATTGGTTATTCTTTTTTTGGCCTGAGGTGTGAATATAAGTATAAATGGTTGTCTGTTTCTCTGTGTTTGCCCTGCCAACTTTTCCATGGTACCCTGCTCTATGCTTAGTGTAGGCTGGGATAAGCTAGTAGCGTAGGAGAGCAGAGTGCTGTTTCATTATGTGAATTTTCCTTTTTTTCATTCTTGGTCAAGTACTTCCAATTATTTTGGTTTTCCTGAATTCATTTTTTTTTTATCAGACCACTTGTGTACACTGCTCAAAAAAACAAACAAAAACAAAACAATCTTGTCTGATCTGGTCAGTTAAGGGTTGTTAATCAGTTTCAGCTGCTTTGATGTAAAATTAAAAACAGGGGCAACAATGACACAACCGCCAAAGCAAGACTGGTTTAACAGGTGGAGGCCACTGACGCTTTGTCCCTCCTCATCTTTTCTGATGGTTTCACTAGTTTTAGCATTTGGCTAGGTCAGTGTCACTACTTAATAGCTTGCTCAAAGGGGAATCATATGATTTTGGGGGTTTTCTTTATATTATTGGTGAGAAAAGGTCTCAAACTCCAGTCCTTGAGGTGCAGTGTCCTGAAACTTTTCCATGTGTCCCTGTTGCCACCTCAGCATGCATTCAAGTTCTATAGTCTTGCTAATAACCTACAAATCGTCTTCAGGTGTGTTGCAGCAAGGACATATGGAAAAGCTTCAGGACAGCGGCCCTTGAGGACTTGAGTTCAAGACCCCTGTAGAGTCTTCGCCTTACAATTTAAAGTGCCTTGAGTCAACTGGCAATGCCTGGGCCCTGTAGAGGTTGCACAGGTAGGCATTTGTGAATGCCAGTTGAATACTAGAGTTGGTAAATCCCTGTGCTTTTTACAGATGAAAGCAGGTTCAGTGTGAGCATATGTGACAGACATAAAAAGGATCTGGAGAAGCCATGGACAGTGTTATGCTCAAACAGCAACCTGACTGCCATGAAAACCTTAGACCCACTGTCAGACCTCATGCGGGTGCAGTGAGTCCTGGGTTCTTTCTGTTGTTCGACAACGCCCGGCCTCATGTTAATAAAACTGTTAGGTTAGGGTAAGAAAAAGAACATGATACGGGTCAAAATACAAAGGTTGTTAGTTTTTCTAAACTCCATATTCTTTCCCCTGGAGACTCTTGACAACATATGTGCTGCATGCACAAAGTATACTTCCTTATGAGTTTCAAAGTCATTCTTACCATCTTGTTAAAAAAATATGGCCAAATCCTATTCATGAACTGAACAAATAGAATATCTCACATTGGTTTTTCATGGTTTTCTGTGGCAGAGGTAAAAACCACATAAAAGGTGGTTTCTGATTTATTTTTACTGTCTAATAAGGTCATTCCACTTCACTAATTTCTAAATGAGATTCTTCAGTCTTCATACTTGCAAACTGTGTGGAAAGGACAGAGTACATAAAAAAAACAGATGTTTCAGGGTCATTTCGATGACTGTTATTTTTAATATACAATTTTGAGCTAAAAGATCCTGTCATGTTTTTTTTTTCTTTTTACCCCATTAACGTTGAAAACAGCAGCTGTTTTGGAGACCTTCAGCAGTCCTTTGCTGCCCTGCATGATTATACCAAACAGTCACATTATGGAGTAACTGATGATTTTTTTGGTAACTGCCAATTCAGTGCACATGGATATGATTGAAAAAGCGAGTGCTCTTTTTTCCAAAACAAAATGCTCTCTGCAGATTTCTAGTTTTAAGAGGCTAAAAATGACACATGCCACCAAACTGCAGCCATTTGTCTCCTGTCCGCCTTTTTTTAACTGCTTTTTACTACCGTCGAGGTTACAATTTGCTCTCTAAATTATTATGGGGGCATTAACTAGAAATTGTTTTTACAGTCACTGATGTTATCGACCCATCAGTTGGATTTATGCTCAGAAATATTCACAGCTTCTCAGTTGGAGTAAAAACAGCCTCACGGAGCCAAACTGGTAAAAAGCCATTTCACTGGCAAGCTGACAACAGATAAACCCACCTGCGTCTGTTAGAGCTGCTCTTGTAAAATGTTGGCTTAAAGTCATACTCAGAACCCAAATGTGGAAGTGCACTTATCCTATGATGATGATGATGCACACTTTTCACCGTACTGACGTTTAAATAAGCGCCTCTAATTGCAGTTCAGTGACTCATTGTGCACAGAAAGTAGAAATAAGTGGATGAATCTTGACCTTTTTCAAAGTAGGATTTAACCCTTCAGATGCAGAGTTGTTTTGCAAAAACTTTAGATTATAAACTAGACGGATTTTTTTTAGCAGCAGTTACACAGCTTCAACCACAATGACACATCAGATCCATAGCTGGAAATACACAATGCTGCAGTCAGGGCTGAAATAACAGAGAAGGTCAATGCAAACATATAATGTCGGTATTCTTAAACCAAGAAATATAAAAGAACTGGAGTACCTGTTACAGCAAAAAGGCATTTGGTTTGAAGGTGTACCCTGGGTTTGATCTGGTGTAATCTGTCTCGGGCCTGCCATGATTAAGCAGTTAAAAAGTTGGATGGAGGGTTTAAATATGACAATGATGTAGTCGCTGAAGTCAATAATAAGTAATGCAGCCTCACCAGACAGACGCACATAATTAACATTTCTAGCTTTAGTTGAATCTCAGTATCCACTTGAAATAGTAGCCCTCAAAAAGATTTACTCCGGTTACATTGCTAGAAATTTGAAAGACTTGAGCACTAGTGATGGCTGTAATAAGCAGTTGCTTTACCACGTTAGTTCTTAGACTGAAACATGTCAGCATATATTTGATGAGCTGACATTAAAATGTCAAAATTTACAGCAGAACTGAACACAGCATGGTGCAAAAATGCTTTTGATTTTCCCTTTTATAGAAACATCCATCCATCCATTCGCTTCTGCTTATCCTTTTCAGGGTCACGGGGGATGCTGGAGCCTATCCCAGCTGTCATAGGGCGAGAGGCGGGGTACACCCTGGACAGGTCGCCAGTCTGTCACAGGGCTAACACAGAGACAGACAACCATTTGCGCTCACATTCACTTCCGTATTAACACCTATGGGCAATTTGAATTAATCAGTTAACCTATCCCCACAAGCTGCATGTCTTTGGACGGTGGGAGGAAGCCGGAGTACCGGAGGGATCCCACACAAACACGGGGAGAACATGCAAACTCCACACAGAAAGCCCCCGGCCTGATGGTGGAATTGAACTCAGGACCTTCGTGCTGTGCCACAACAGTGCTTTTTTAATAAAAACAGTACAAGGATATTTTTTTAAATAACCCATTTAGAGTTTGGTCTATAGTTGAAATGTGGCTGTTTTGATTGACAGATGTGCTGCTGATATGGGCAGCTGTAGCCCATTGATATCTCGTAGGCTTAATCTCTGCTTATTTGAGTCGCTGAATTGAACCTCTGAACTGTGTTTGTGTTTTGTATTTTCAGTGTCACTGTCTGATAAATAGCATATCTTGCTGCGTGGTACAGACTATAGAAGAAGTTAATTCTCTGTATGGACTTGCTAACCAAGATTGCTAGCTTTAAGAGAAAGTTTAGCACTCAATAATAAAGAGAACCTATAGGTTTCAGAGTAGAAGTTGTTAAGAGAAAGCTTGGATAACAAACGGACGGTGTGACATTAGAGAAAAGATGTGTAGGTGTACACAGACGCGGACTACAGCTTTCTTGGCTGCTGCCTCAAAGCACATTGTGCGCTGTCTGTCTTGCTTGCTGCACAATATCGTTTAATATTTAGCATCTACTGTTATCTACTGCTAGCTAGTTTATTGTGATGGTGCTGTATTTATTATTTTGCTCTTTTTTTGTTTGCTTTCTCTTCAGTTTTTTTTCTCCATGCAGGTGATCCAGGTGTTTTGTTTGTTTTTCCTTCTTTCTTCCCCGCTTTCTCACCGTCTCTTCTCCCCTTTGGTTTTCTTTCTCTCCCTCTCTTTCTTTCATTCTCTCTCCCTGTCCTATCCCCCAGTCATGTCTGTCCCGCTTGTAGCAACCGAAAATAAAATAAATGCATAATTATAACCAAGGTCAATCAAATGGACCAATATGGCAAGGCCATGATGATCCACTTGGTAAAATAAATCCGCTTGGCATCTTTCTTGGCCTTAAGACAACAATTCTGATGGTAAAGATCCAAACGGGACACAAAAAAAAGAAGAAGAAAAAAGAGAAAAGATGTGTAACCAGTATCCAGTGACAGCTGTGATCTTTCTGAATTATAGAAATCTATAACTGAGATATTTTTGCCTCTATTGCTCTTTTTTTTTTTGCTCAGCTAAACTTAAAGAAAATGTCTCTTCTCTTAAAGTAATCAAGTACAGAATTTTTTATTGATGAAAACAGAGACAGCGATGGCTGCTTTTGGTAGCTTGAGATGGATGCAGCGTTGAGTATGAACCTGCTGTGTGTTTCTGGTGCCACTTCACGTCACTGCTGTCATTTTGGAGCATCAGGATTCCTGCAGTCGTTCTTTCTTTCAAAAGCCCGAACAGACAGAGACTCCTGAGGCTTAAAATATCTGCATTCTGGATCGTTTCTCTCACTGAAGAACATTCAGGCCTTTTCATATCTGTTCGCTCCAGATGGGAGTTGAGTCACTGGCAGACTGAACAAACACACAGCTGAGGCTCAGCAGAGCTTTAGTTTCTGTCCACAAAGTCCGCCTTAAGTCTTTTCTTCTGAAATGAGCATCGTGCAGCTTCAGTCATCTGCTCGTTGTCAACAATCTTCTGTTTCCAAGTCTTTTTATTCAAAAGTTTATTCTGTACTTTCTGGTATCTCCCTCTCCATTCTCCTATTTTCTGTTTTCTTATTGTTATTGATTGAGCTCCATAGTTTTTCCCTCCTTTTGTCCTCCATTTTTACTTTCTTCATGGCCTCCTTCCACTGCTTCTTGGCCATCCTCATCTCCTTTTTGGAGACTTTGTCATTCTTGTAGCATGTTTTCAGGGTAGTCTTGAACTGTTTGGTCATTTCTTTGTATTGTCGTCTGTCAGAGTTCCTCGTCCTGTTTTGGTTAATGTGTTTATCCAGCCATGTGTAGGTCCTTCTAGTTAGGTTGGCTATAGCCTGTTGGACAGAGGAGATGACAGGCTCTTTCACTCAGGTTTTTGTTTACATATGTATACAAAATATATATATATATAAATATATAACTTAGCAGAAGTTGCATCACATTAATTACATTTTGTGCCTCTTGTGTTTTCCTTACTTTTCGTATCCTGCTCAGGAGTTTACTCCAGCTCAGTGACAGTCTTTTCATCCTACTTTGTGTCTTCAAAGAAACATAAATAACAAATCACAAATACTACCAAGAATGTTGCTACAAAGATGACTGCCTAACAACATCTACTGCAGTTTTTAACTTATTTTAAATCTTCTTACATCATTTTTTTCACTATACTCCCACAAGCACACTTAAAGAAAACCTTTACCACCAACTTACCCGTATTCAGTTTACATTTAAACTCCTTATTATACTATATTTAGATTTTAAATTCACATGTTTTTTATCTTTACTGAGCAACATTGGTTTTCATGTTTTGGTGTCCGTAATTATCTGTAATTGTATCTGTACAATATCAAGACAGTAGTTTCCCAACCTTTGGGATAAATAAAATCAGGCTTATTTTATTTCTCTGATAATATTTTTTAAGTTTTTACTCAAGCAAGATTTTTTAAACGCAGGAATTTTGCTTTTTACAGAGTAACTTTACAGAGTATTTTATTCTTGTATTAGCCATGTGTTGCCTCTCTGTGCCGTTCTGGACCACCCCCAGCCCTCCTTCTACTGTTAAATGGCTCTGTGGAAGTCACTTTTACATTTGCTTTAGTGCACCACCTTTATTCTCGTGTTTTAAAACTGCAACCCTTCAAACTTCACTTTAGTTTTCCATTAGCACACACAATCGGTGTACAATATTGGAATGTTAAACATCCATGAATTTTTTCGGAGTCCTTTGCAACGAGATTTAGTCATG